TATTATTTTTTTATACTTGTAAATTTAAATTAGAGCTTTTCAATTTTGAAATTAAAATTAAAAAAATTAAAAATTAAAATTTATAATTTATAATTCAAAATTTATAATTAAATTCGGATCTCTATAAAATATATTATTGCATATAAGAAAGCGCTATAATATTTAACAGCATGATAGCACAAAGAAAATCCGCTATGTTAGGTACTATGACGGGCGATGATAGAGCGCTTATTAAAACGCTATAATATCGTTAAATAGCGTTATTTGGACGCTACGGAAAACCAATTTTCTTGTAGTGAAATTTTATATTTTTAATATGTTATTTTTGTTTGTAATCATATAATAAATTTCATTAAGAATCATTTTGTCCATCTTAAATAACATTGATTTTCTAAGTAATTTTCATTGTTAATTTTTTATTCTTAATTACATATTTAGGGATTATGTCTATACTTTTAGTCATATTAACACATATTTAACTTTAAGTTTTTTTTTAACAACTATTTAATTTTAAGTTTTGTTATATGATACACTTAGTAAGTTAGTATTAATATGACTAAAAGTATAAACATAATACATATTCAAGTAACTTTTATTTTAAATTGTGTATTAATTGAAGATTAATGCTAGATACAATTAATTACTTTGAAATGATTATTGATGAAAACCATAATATTATTTTGGTGATAACGTGGACACGAGTATATATAGATTCCATATCCATGAAATATAAATTTCTCATATAACATGCATGTATATTCAGGACATTTCTCGCAACGTTCCTTGGTTGGTGTGGTGAATAATAATAAAACACATCAAATTTTTCCTTCCAATATGTTCATACGTTCATTCTCTATATTTAACTATAAAGCCCAAAGAAATGAACTTGACCTAGAAAAGAATGGACTTGACCCAATAGCAAATAGCATTGGAAATATTAGGTCCATACAAAGACAAATTGAACAATAGTCGTGAATATGTTTGCTACGTCTAAATAACAACACGTACACGTATCACGCGCAGAGAACAAATCATTTGATAATGATAGCCCAATTAGCATGTGTCATCACTTGTTACCACGTCAACAAGCTTCTTGTCGGTCCATTTAATTAGTAGGAGATAAGTAACCATCGTTTTCAGGAAAAAATCTACACAAAAAGTTTCTAATGGCGAAACAATATTCAAATATTTCCTAACAACTACCATGAGACTGATTCTTAATTTCTCATAGAGTTAATCTGGTGACCATCAAGTAAAAAGTATTTAGAAAATAGGACAAAAGGTATAGATATTTAAGCACTAGCAATAAATTTAAGAGCATGCTACTTTTAATTAAAATTTAAAATATTTTTATATCCAATAATTAACGTGCTAAATAATACAGTCCATCACACATTTATATGATATATATATATATATATATATATATAATCAGTTTTAATAGTTGAAAGAGAAAATCATTATACAGAAAAAAAGAATCAAACATTTTTCAACACTAATTTTTGTGTGATATGCATAAAACACTACTTGATAAATTAAATGTATAAACAAAAAATACTTCCTCCATCTTTTTACTTGATGTTTAAGATTTTGCTCAAAAATTAAGAAATTTTTAATTTTAGTTTATTTCTAAACTAAAACATTATTTATTATTTACTTAAACACGATCAACCAAAATAAAAAAGTGTGTATAATATAAATCGTCAAAACCTGTAAAAATTAATTAATTTTGCATTAAAATTAAAAACCATCTAATTTAAAATAAAATATTTCTCCTAAAACATCAAATATAAAAAATAGAAGGACTAATATTTTTTTATAAGTAAATACATGTTCCAAAACAATAAAAAGAAAAGTAAAAAAATCGCTAAAAATTGCTAAAATTCAATTTTGTCAACTTAACTCAAAATCTTTTTGCTATTTTTCTTAATGTCAGACTAGATCATCACCCGTACTAAAGTACGGGTTGAATTTTATTTATTACAAAATTTATATAATATATATATTAGAACTAAGTTTTAATATATTATAATAATAAGTGATAAAATATTAATTTTTTTGTCAGTCTCTATATACAATATTAGAATAAATATAGAATTTTTTCTATAATACTCAATTATGGATATTTTTTATTTTAAGATATAAAAACGGAAAATAATTTTATTTTTTAAAAAGTAATATTTTTTGAACAATGAGTTAATTTATGTTAACAACCACAAAATAGGATTGCATATATTTCAGTTAGATCAAAAATTAAAATATCATAAATAAATCGCATATAAAACATAGATTATTTTGAATTAATTAAGAAAATTAGGTATTATTTTGAATTAATTTAGAAAATTCTTTTTCAATTCATAATTCTTTGGTTGTTGAAATAGAGATTTGTTTGAGCTAATCTAATTACAGAATTTGTTTGAGATTTATAATTACGGAATTTACCAATTATTCGCATAATCGAATATGTTATAAACATATATTTAGTATATAATAATACCAAAATCAACCCGTGCGTGGAGTCTATATTTTTATTTTAGAATCTCAATATTTCATTTTAAAATATTGCGTGCACAATCTATTATTCGTTAATTCTAAAATTGCTTGCGGAATCAAATTTTCAAATATTTAGAGGTGTCAAACCATATTTAAATGTTCTACACTATTTTTAAATATTCTAAATTAAAATCTTTAAATTTTTTTGTAGTTTATAAAATTATGAATTTCAAAAAACAAATTATATGAAATTAAATATAACTATTCAAATAGTTATAAGGATCAAAACTCATTTCATCATATAATATATTATATTTAACCCGCTACCTATTATAAATATTTTTAAAAATAATCAAATTAGAGTATTTATAATTTTTAACTTTTTGAACTATTAAGTATTGATGATATTCTCTAAAAATATCAAGTAAAACTTATTATAAATGTTGCAAATTAAAATATTTAAATTTTTATTGTAGTATATAAAATTATACATTTCAAAAAAATAAATGTATGAAATCGAATATAAATATTCAAATTCTGACCCGTTGCTCAGTCGGAATTTTTGTTGACTTTATTTTTGTGTAAAAAAAATATATTACTCAAGTTTGAATTTTTGACCCATTTAATTGTTTCCTTTATAGATTGAACAATTTATATGCGTTTTTAAAAATTCAAATCTTGGCATATGCAGAAAAAAATTTACATTTTTTTTTATTATGTAGATGATATGATGATTTATTTGTTTCATATTAATATAATCATATAAAGATGAGAGGTGAAGTTTAATGATTAATAACAAATTAATATGGTAAGTTAGATATCAAATCTTATATGTTCATTTTGATTGGTCATTTAAAAAAAAAAAAACAGATTTTCGTTTTATAATTTAATTAACTTAATTAAATGACATAAATTAGTATTTTACTTGTTTATCCTTAATAAATTGAATGAAATTTGTTCTAAAAAAAGATTTTTGTAATGGCATACTTAAGTAAATTCTTACAAAAGGGAAGGTTAGTTAAGGATATCTTATAAAGTGTACTCCCCAAATAATAGTATAGGATGTCCTTTCTTGCGATTTTTCAAAATATTATCTTTACTTCTGCTATCCAATATGAAAATATTTCTCCCTTTTTCAATTAAAAAAAAATCTCTCACTAAAAAACAAAAGAGAAATTGTTAAAAATGCCCCTTTTTCAATACCCCTTTTCAAAAATGCCCCCTTTGAGAGTCCATTTTTAAGTTTGCCCTCTTTTAATTTTTAATGACCATTTTACCCTTATTTGAAACAAAATTAGGTCCACAAAATACAAAATATTTTTTGGCGGGAAAAGTGATCCCGTAATTTTCCCGCCAAAACACTTGTAAAAAACTTTTAAAATACCTTGTAAAATTTTCCCGTAAAATTTTTTCCCGCCAAAAAATTTTTCCGCCAAAAAATTTTTTTTGCGGGAAAAGTGATTCCGCAATTTTTTTTTTTGGCGGGAAAATTTTTGGCGGGAAAAATTTACAAGGTATTTTAAAGGTTTTTTACAAGTGTTTTGTAAGGTTTTACAAGTGTTTTGTAAGGTTTTACAATGTATTTTAAAAGATTTTACAAGGTACTTATAAGGTTTTATAAGGTATTTATAACTTGTAAAACCTTATAAAAAACTTGTAAAACCTTATAACTTGTAAAAACCTTATAAAATAGCTTGTAAAATCTTATAATATCTTATAAATACCTTGTAAATACGTTGTAAAACCTTTTATAATACATTGTAAAACCTTATAAATACCTTGTAAAAAACCTTTAAAATACCTTGTAAATTTTTGGCGGGAAAAATTTTCCCGCCAAAAATTTAACGCCAAAAAAATTGCGGAATCACTTTTCCCGCAAAAAAAATTTTTTGGCGGGAAAATTTTTTGGCGGGAAAAATTTTACGGGAAAATTTTACAAGGTTTTTTAAAGGTTTTTTACAAGTTTTTACAAGTGTTTTGGCGGGAAAAATTGCGGGATCACTTTTCCCGCCAAAAAATATTTTGTATTTTGTGGACCTAATTTTGTTATTTTCCTTATATATTTGTGATATCTTTTATTAAAAGAAGGGTAATTTAGTCATTTTGTACATAAAAGGGGTATTTTTAAAAATGGACAGCCAAAGGAGGCATTTTTGAAAAGGGGTATTAAAAAAGGGGCATTTTTGTGAGTCTCCCAAAACAAAAAGGGAAAAAAAAGCGAAGAAAAAAGTAAATAATACGCCGACGTTTTGTGTTTCACGTAAAGCTTCCTTTTTCCTTTATTTCTTTTGCCTTTTAAATAACCGTCGGACTCGTATTTCTCGCCTCCGCCGGCGAACAGTAGTTTTATTCTCTCTCTCTCTCTCTCAGCGTGTTCTAATTTCTGCCACAAAACCCTAATTTTTCTTAAACCCTAAAATTCGTGTAACCCTTGCTTCAATTTTGTTAATCCATTGTTTTACGAATCTCTCATCTAAAGCTACATTCTCCGATAAATCGTTTTAATCGACTCACTGACTCGTGAGTTGACTCGTAAGCTGTTCGCTAATTACTTGTACAATTTTCATGCGATGATGTTTCAATATGGAAGAAACTAGAAGAATTTCTGATCCAGAGAATGGGAGTTCGAGTTACGGCGGTAAACCGCCGAATCCACTCTCTTTCTCTTCTTCCTCCGCCGCTGCCGTATACAAGCAAAGCTTCGACAGCGAGCGATCGTTGGCTCCGTGTAATAAGAGGTCACTTGTTCGACACTCATCTCTCGTAAGATTCGTTTCTTGAATGTTGATTTTGGTAATAATTGAATACTAATTAAGGTAGCAAGTTTATGTTTTTAATGTGTCATTAAGAGATGTTTAAGGTTTTGTAATTGATTTTGTTTGGTAGGTGAAGACAAAGGTGTCAGATATATCTGTTGAGAATGAGTTTACTATAGAGAAGAATAAGTCTGAGTTTGTTCCTGCTATGCGTTCTGGAGCTTGGTCTGATATTGGATCCAGGTCAAGCATGGAAGATGCTTATCTATGCGTTGATAATTTCATGGATAGCTTTGGACTTCTGAATTCTGAGGCCGGTCCAAGTGCCTTTTACGGGGTAAATTCTTTATTTTGAACAAACTAAATGTATTTTGTTGAATAAGCAAACCACTGTGAATGTAGTAAAAGTCTGGGATCTCTTATTCGTCTTTTTTGTATTAGGTATTTGATGGACATGGTGGGAAGCATGCTGCTGATTTTGCATGTCACCATATACCGAGGTACATTGTTGAAGATCAAGAGTTTCCTAGTGAAATCAATAAGGTGTTATCTTCAGCATTTCTTCAAACAGACACTGCCTTTTTAGAGGCGTGTTCATTGGATGGGAGCCTTGCTTCAGGAACTACTGCTTTGGCAGCTATTCTTTTTGGGAGGTAGCAAATTCAACTCTTATAATAGATAACTAATACCTAAGATTGCATAAGTAGGCTAGCAATGTACAGCTCATTCTCTTTATTTTTAGCCAACTAAGTTGTGTGGTCATCTTTTGGGAAAAACTTTTATTCTGAACATTGTCTCCCATATTATTTTCTCTCTACGTAGCTTGACATCTTTGTTATGCAAGGAAGAATCTATTTGGGAATAGATGCATATAGTATGTATAATATCTGCCCGTATTGGCTGCTGCTGCTCTAATGTAGTTATTGTCTCAGCTTTATGCGTCTACCTTTTATCAAAGTTTGTATATATTGATACTCAAATAAAAACTAGCTCTTCGAGTCTCGTATGTACTTGCTCATTTCATACTCTATTATTATGCTGGTATTAAACCTTTTTCTACCGTGTTAACATTTAGTTTTGTGGTAACAGGTCGTTGGTGGTAGCAAACGCTGGAGATTGTAGAGCAGTCTTATCCCGTCAGGGAAAAGCCATTGAAATGTCAAGAGACCACAAACCCATGAGCAGTAAGGAGAGAAGACGCATTGAGGCATCTGGTGGATATGTTTTTGATGGCTATCTAAATGGACAACTTAATGTGGCTCGTGCGCTCGGTGACTTTCATATGGAAGGTATGAAGAAGAAGAAAGATGGTTCTGATTGTGGACCTCTCATTGCAGAGCCTGAGCTCATGACAACTAAACTAACAGAAGAGGACGAGTTCCTCATTATCGGGTGTGACGGGGTTTGGGATGTGTTCATGAGCCAGAATGCTGTAGATTTTGCCAGAAGGAGACTGCAAGAGCACAATGACCCAGTAATGTGTAGTAAAGAGCTGGTTGAGGAAGCTTTGAAGAGGAAGAGTGCGGATAATGTTACGGCAGTGGTTGTGTGTCTTCAACCACAGCCACCACCAAACTTGGTAGCACCGCGGCTGAGAGTTCACAGAAGCTTCTCGGCGGAGGGTTTGAAAGATCTACAGAGCTACTTGGATGGCTTGGGGAATTAATTGGGGGACATGGGGATGGTGACGAATGATTTATTCTCTGTTTTTGTTTTGTCTTTTCTTACAATTTATAGTTTTGGTTTTGGAGGTTTTGTTCTGTTAAATTCTTGCAATTTGAGTAACTTATAACATGAGGCGGCATACAATAATTTATTGTTTGGTAGGATATATTTTTTTGTCACTTTTGCATAATAATAATTCTGCTTCAGTCTCATTTGTTTTGTAACTAAATAGGAATCCTCATTCCTCCCTTTACTGAATATGTTGTGTTCTTGTAAATATGACTGGCTAGAAATGTTTCCCTCGGCAATCTCTGTTTTAAGAGAGTCGGCTTCGATCGCAATAAGCATTGCCATGGATAAATGTCTCTTGATATGTTTATGCAACAAGCTTTTAAAAAAAAGATGTTATGCAACAAAATTTGAATGTATATTTCTGAAAACTCGCTTAAAAACTAAAAAACTAAAAAAAAAATGGAAACTGAACAATACCCAAATTGTATACTTTGAATATCCTTACACAATCAATATTTCTTCTATTACCAATTCGATTTGCTTTGGAACTATTAGGAAGTCTTCTATATCTATTTTTTTTTTGGAATATATTGTATATAATCCAAATTCTCATATTACTTAGGGGTTAACCCTAATCTCATGTGTATAACTCAATCTCAATAAATGATTCAAGGTGTTCATATCAAATTTGGCATGGTATCAGCATGAGGTGCCGCAACTTGTAAAACCTTATCAGAGTCATCATTTGACTAAGCAAGGACTTTCTTCTTAGGTTTTTTTCTTGCCTTACTTGTAGAAGTCACATCTTTTTCCACTTCTTTCTGTTCATTTCGGCCTCCAAATCATTCTCTAGCTCTCTCTGATCATTCAACTATCCACTCTCTCTCGAAAACCTCTCATCTCTTCTAGAATCCTCCATGGGCAAGAGATCCACTAGTGAAGGTGAAGTAGCATTTCCTTATGTTTCGAAGAAAAACTCTAAGAAGAAGCCTTTGCTTTGTCAAATGATGACTCTGATAAGGTATTACAAGTTGAAACATCTCTTAGGGATTAACCCTAATCTCATGTGTGTATATATATGAACTCAATCTTATATACACATGAGATTAGGTTTAATCCCTAAGAGATGCTTCAACTTGTAATACCTTCTACAATATATTTCAAAAGATAATATATATGATTTTCATATAGGAACTGAATCGAACAGCAAAATCATTCCATCAATAATGTTTTCTAAGTAGTTAGACATAAAGGTATGTCAATCATGATTCCCAATGGTCTGATTAACTTGATTAAACAACTAATTGATTGGAATCGTTTATCGCCCATATCCCAAATCCGCCGTATTATTCAATATGACTCTAGCAAGAGATTAATGAGCCATATCAGAGCAAAGCCTCTGAAACAACCAACAATGGTCTTAGGTTCTGGTATTGATGACTATTATATCTTTCCAACATTTAACATTGATTCTCATATTCAATCATATAACATGTTATGTATAGATTTTATGGGTTTTCTAAAATGTACAAAGAATGGCCATTATTAATTGAACAATTCTTGGGTTCACCCCTAGGGGTGAACCTTTATATTCACCCCCTTTACTTTTAGCCAATCATTATGCCATGTCATATAACATTAAATAAAAATTAAAAATTAAAAATTAAACAAACAATAGAATAAATTAAGAAACAAAATCGCAGACTTGAAAAATAGAATTAACTGAGTCGTCGTCTTAATTTCGTTTTAGGTTGAGAGATTGTTTTCCCAAGGAATGCAACTGAGGCCATCAATCTTGTAGCTTATTCATGGGGTCTTTCTAATCTTAAACGAGGATAAATATAAATACACTTACAGATGCATATAGAATTGTGAAATCAAAATAGTTAAAGTAGTCTTCTTACTGCACACTTTCTTAACGCAAATGAGTGTTCGCAAAATTGTTAGGTTAGCTTTTTATGTCTTTCATTGTTTTTTTCAATAAATTTTCATCGGATCAAACATTTTTTTTGCTTCACCATTTATTTTTCTGAATGGTTTTTGTAATTTGTACGTGCATATCTAATTGATTAAAAGGTCAAGCAAAATTAATGTTCAAGCAAAATTAATGTTCAACCAAAATTTGAACAAGTCAGATTAAGAGAGACAGCCAAACCAAGTAATGATCCACATAATTAAGAGCCAAATCAACTCATCAAGTTTAAATCCAAAGCAATTAACACCTTCTTCCATTACGTTTTGAAAATTATTAAAATTCAATTTCAGTCCCAGGTTTATGAAGGTTCTAAACTTCTAATAGGGTGAAGAACTGAAGAAGTATCAATGGCCATGAAATACGGAATTGAACAAGTAAATATCTACGACTCCTTTAATTAAACTAATTTTTTGTTAATGATTTTATTTTTTAATTTAATTTATTTGTTTGTTTAATTTTTATTTAAATAGTGTATGACATGGCATATTGATTGGCTTAAATTAAAGGGGGTGAATACAAGGGTTCACCCCTAGGGGTGAACCCAAGAATTGTTCTTATTAATTTTCTAAACTCAACTAGAAACCCATATATTAATATCAATCTTACAACTATAAATAATCTACTATAGTGTCATTTACACAATTTTAATATCAAACAAATAGAAGACCGAAAATAAAAAAATGAAAAAGAGTAGTATATAAATGGAGCCTAACCTAGTCCAAGCGGTATCAACAAAACAATATCTTTAATAAAAAAAAAAAAAAACAACAACAAACAAGGAAGAAGAAAACAAATATGTAAACTTGAAAAAAAAATCCTAAGGGTAAGGATGATAAAACACTGTTGAAGGGCTTGCGAATCGATTTTTTGCTTTGGACAATAAATTGCAGCTGTGAAATAGATTGTTGAAGACTATGGGAAGGAAGAATTCTTTAGCTTTGATGAAACAATTTTGTTGCATGCTTTGATGGAAAACTTTGATGTATCATACTTTGCTCCTTTTACATCTTTTATTGAGTAGGTAGTGATCTTTTTACTTCTTCTTGTTGACTTAAGCTTGAAATAACTTAAGTCACAAGTTACTATTTCCTAAAGAGATTAGGACTAGAAACTTTAGGAGTTATCTAAAGTTATATTTAAGATTTATCTAAATATAAGTTCTAATAGGATTTGATTTGATTAAGAGTATTATATAAGGAGATGTCAAGTTTTCGGCGGGTTAAATGTAATGTATTATATAATAGAAAGAGTAATGATCCTTATAACAGATATCATGTTAAGATTATATGATGAGATGGGTTAAATAAGGTTCGACACCTCTAATATTTGAAAATTTGATTCTCCAAACAATTTTGAAAATAAGAAATTATGGATTATGCATGCAATGTTTTCATTGGAATTCTAAAATGAAAATATAGAATCCACGTACGAGTTGAATTTGATATTATTATATACCAAAAATATTTGATTATGTGAATAATTGCTAATTCCATAATTAGCTCAAATAAATCTCTATTTCAACAACAAAAAAATTACAAATTGAAAAAGAAACTTCCTAAATTAATTAAAAATAATAGCTGACTTCTTTAATTGAGTCAAAATAATATACGTTTCAGATGCGACCCATTTATGATATTTCGATTTTTGATCTAACTGAATTATATGCAATCTTATTTTGTGGTTCTTAACATAAATTAACTTATTGTTCAAATAATTTTATTTTTTAAAAAATAATCTTACTTTCTGTTTTCATATCTTAAGAAAAATTATCCCTAATTGAGTATTATATAAAATATAAAATATATTCATTCTAATATTATATATAGAAACTGATAACATTTTTTTTAATATTTTATCACTTATTAATATAATATTTTAAAACATTATTCTGAAATATATAATATATAAATTTTTTTGTAGTAAATAAAATTTAATCCTTGTTGTAATAGGATTAGATCAAATATGTTCCAAGGGCGAAAAAAGTTAAATGGGCAAACATCTTGAAACACTTAACGAGATTCTCTGATATAGAACGAGGCCCAATATGCCAATCAAAGTGGGCTATTCGAATTGGTAATGAGGCCTAATTAGGAAGCAGATTCCGCACAGAAGACCAATGTAAGGTGAATGCACGCGCATTTATCAGCGCGTGATTTACATACAGTTGCTCAATCTCAGATCGCCACAGGCTCTGTTAATTTTCTCCTCCTCCGAAAGAGAGAGAAAGAAACGAATCAGATTCAAATCGAAGAGATCGAGAGAGAAAATGTCCGGTGTTGCGGCTATTCATGCGAGTTCATGGGGCGCGGCTCTGGTGAGAATCTCTCCGTACACTTTCTCCGCCATCGGAATCGCCATCTCCATCGGCGTCTCCGTTCTTGGTGCCGCCTGGTAAATCCTTCTCTTCTTCACCTCCTCCCAAATTGATTTGCGAAATCATCGTGTTTACTAAAGCAATTTGATCTCTCTCTCAATGGTTTAGGGGAATTTACATTACCGGAAGTAGTTTGATCGGTGCCGCCATTGAAGCTCCTCGTATCACTTCCAAGAATCTCATCAGGTTTTGCCTTCGATTCAATTTCAATTTCAGGAATTTTCTGTGAACCAATGCGTATGCCATTAGATTGTAGTATAGGAAATTGAAGAAAGAAAGGTTGACCTAGGATTTGTCACATTGGCTCTGATTTAGATGCTAGAACTCTGTTTGTTCATTGTTTTTGGAACTGTTTTTTTCAGTGTAATCTTCTGTGAAGCGGTGGCTATATACGGTGTTATTGTTGCAATCATATTACAAACGAAGTTAGAGAGTGTACCATCATCGAAGATGTATGATGCTGAGTCTCTAAGAGCTGGATATGCAATCTTTGCTTCTGGAATCATAGTTGGATTTGCAAACCTTGTCTGCGGGTCTGTATCTTCTTCTTTATCCTCTCTTTCTCGTATGGTTCATCCTGAACCTTTTGTAAACATGGAAATCTCACTGTTTATGCGGATTTGTGTTTGTAGATTATGTGTAGGAATCATTGGAAGCAGTTGCGCGTTGTCTGATGCTCAGAACTCGACGCTCTTTGTCAAGATTCTTGTGATTGAGATCTTTGGGAGTGCTCTCGGGTTATTTGGAGTTATCGTTGGGATCATTATGTCGGCTCAAGCTACATGGCCTACAAAATAGAGATATATAAACTGGACTTATGGTACTTATACTCTATACCTTTTGTGATCTATTTTTCAAAATCCCGGAAGAATTACACTTCTTTGTTTATCTTCTTTGCTGCTATATCTCGTGTAGAAGACAAAACCATGTGCTGCTATACTCTATACCTTTCTGTGAATCCCTATTTTTTGGTAATGTTCAAACTTGGGAATAAGTCACTTGGAGAAACCTCTTCATGTTTGTATTCTTTGGTTCTTTTGTGACAAATGATAAGAGTGTGTATATTGTTACTGAGCATTGAATGAACTTAAACTCTTCAGGCTTCTATTGTTGTCAAACTCAATTTGTGTATTTTGAGTGTACATATGTGAGAGAAAATTACAAAAGATAACAATACATTTTTCATACTTCACAAAATATAGAGTAATAGACAAAAAAAAACGCTAAACATAAAGCTCTTTGTAGCAAAAGAAGCTGCTGTTATAGGCAACTGTCAACACAAAGCTCGATTTCATCAGTATATAACTTATATTCATAAGAAGCTACTATGTTCGTATTGTTTCCTACACAGCAACATCTAATTCTAATAGACTAATATTAACATAAACTTACAAGACTGTCGCACATTATTATGCATATTATCAGAGACCGAACAAATCGATAACCCGCAAAAGAGATGAAGCTCAACCGTTGAATCAGACTATCAGTAAGCCATTCCTCCTGAAAACACATCTCCGTCATGAAGCAAGCTTTCCGTCAACCAATAACCATCCCATGAACCACCTATCCGCTATCATTACACACAAATGATTTAATATTTAATCATCATCATCATTGCAGATCACAAATCCACAAAATATAGACCGTTCAAAGCCCTTAGGGTCTCTATAGACTATAGTGACATAGGAACCAACCTGGAACATTGTGAATTCAAATATCTCTTCTTCCTCAGGTCGATTTCCCTGAATCCAAATCCTCTGCTTGAAACGATTCTGTATATTGAAAAAAGAGGGTATCATGAGACAACAAGGGAGAGCTCTATATTGATTGTAACAAATTCAAACAAGAGATGATACCTCCTCCACGAACAAACTACTTAAGATTTTTCTGTCCTTGTGACCAAGCAACACACGGTAAGACGAGTGATGAAAAATACGCCTAAACCTTTCAAACTGCACAAACCAATGAGAACCAAGGGATAAGAACCTTGGCTAGTAGCTATAAGGAACAATAAGATCATCAAAGTTTCGAGAAAAGAAATGGTTTAAAATAAACCTGTCCTAGATCAAAGAAAGGACCAAAATAGGTGGATCTCTCGAATGGATCGAATCCAGCAAACTGTTTTTTGGACAAAAGATGTCAAAACATTACAAAAGCTGTAAGAATCAAAAGAAGCATCAAGGAAGTTTGTAATGTGATTTACCCGATACATAACCTCGATGCCATAATCATCACGAGGATGATCATTATACTTCAATGCATCAAGCTGATGTCGAACAGCGTCTCCCGCACTAAACTATGACCGAAAAAAAGATCTAAAACTCGGATCAATACACTACAATAGAGACAAAGCAATGTAATGTTCCAAGCTTATACAGTAAATAGTATGTTATTACATCAAGTCTGGGGCCAAAAGGTCGTTTCCTACGACTCTCCAACCTGTAACACCATCAATCCAACAACATAAATTATGAAGCAAAAATGATGGAGAAACATAGAAAGGATCTCTAATGCTAAGCTTAACAAGACTATGGCTTTGCAAAATCGAATTTTGATAATTGGAACCAAAATCAATATTTGGATCTGTCGATTCCTATGTAAAACCCAGTAACACCCAAAGCTTGAAACATAGTAAAATCGAGGAAATTAAAGGCGTACCAATCGGCAGAGAGGAAATCGGGAACATCTGAAGAAGCTCGTACGAGATTACGATGAAGCCTTCCGGAGTCATTGAAAGGTTTGAGTTTAGCAGATAAGGAGGAAGGTGGAGATGGAAGTACGAGAGACCAAAACGACATCGTTAGACTCGGTTCCGATGATCTTTGTGTTGCTCTCGCCGGCCGTCGTCTTTCAATTTTAATTTCGATCGTCCGATACAACGGCGCCGAGAGATAGAGAGATAGACACGGGATTAAACCAGAAAATAAAGCTAACCGAGCTGGATTTTAAATTTGAAGCCGGTTTAGATATTATCTGCACCACAAGTCACACACAACACTCGCTAGGAGTTGACTGGTTCTCCCACAACCGGTTGCACTCTTTTAAAATCAATCTAAAAACCATTCTGAACCGCCATAAAACCTTTTATATCAATTTTGTTTTTAAAATCAAATTCTCATTAACAATAGCCAACTTAGACATCATAAAATACAATTTAAGATCATAATTCATGAATAAAAGAGATTCATTTGTTATACTATCTGCCACTTCATTCTCACTTCGAAATGTAAATAAAATTTAACCTTTTTAAATTGATTGAACCAATTGATTAAACTTTTTTTTTTAACAACCCTCAAAGAGAGTGATCAGAAAAGCTAAGTCTGATTAAACTTAACCTTCGAAGATGGCCAATTTTCTCCCATCTTTAACACTGATAAGTCTGATTTAAATATTCCATACTTGTATTGGAAGTATGTCATAATCAACAGGGTCGATAGTCTCTAACTCTATCTACATCCTTGTTTTGATCTATGTTGCGTGGAAACTTTTTCCGAAATTAGTTTCTCGTTTCGGAAACAGAAACAGAAACTCATGGAAACACATAAAAACGTTAAGGAGACGCGAAACTAATTTCTTTTTTATTTAGAAACGCGATGGAATCTTTTTTTTTTTGGAAAACTTAATAAATGAATAATTTATAAATATAAGGATTTATGATACATATAATACCTAAAAACCTAATTAATATTTATGTTTTGGATTTGTGTTGTTCCATTCTTTTTTTTTTGCTATGGTTTTTGTGTTTGATGTTTTTTTCTATATACCAAAACATTTCTATTTCCTAATTTTAGGAAAAGATCGTTTCCCGTTATTAAAACGTTTTGCTTCCACATATCCGTTTTTGTTTCCATGCAACATAGTTTATCCTTTTCAGTAATGGTTTGGCTACTATCCATATCACTTTACCTTCACGGATCTAAACAAAAATGAAAGATGAGAATATAATATATTCATCTTAAGATATAGGATAAGTCACCTATATCTTCACATGCATGAGGATTAAGAGAGGATTTAAGCTTGGTTGGAAAAGATGAGTGAGCTCCAAATGATTGAGAGTCACTCTCAAATCTCGACCATGCACAAAAGTTAAAATTTAACACTTGCTTCTTCTTCAAGATCTTTGAAGAAGAAGATTTTCTAGAAGTTTAAGTAAGAAAATTCACTAGAGAGACCTTTATCCTTGTCTATTTTCTGAAAAATAATTTTGTTTCCATACGTTCTAATGAATGCAATTGTAACTTCTTGTAGATTTCGATGTTAATACGGTGTGGTTGTTGGAGACTTCTTTTAACAAAATTATTCAACAGTAAAATAGTAAGCAGTGAATATATACAAAAGAGAAAGAAAAAAAAAACTAAAAACAAAAAAAGAATATATACAAAAGGAAAAATGTCGAAAACGTGTTTCAATCCCGGAGTTTTTTTTTTTTTTTTTGATAATATTTCAATCCCGGAGTTGATTGGGGCTTACGGTTTCCCCTAATATTGGCATCACATCACCACTATAAATCCAACTTGACTGTGGTAATTGCGAGTTTGCGTTAAGACAAATATTTGTTTTTTCTCAAAAAGGAATGAGAGTTGCGTGTGAATCAAGGATCCCTTGAAAGAAGGAGAAAATCGCCATCTCTGATAAGAGTGATGTCGTCAATCTCGGCTCCGTCTCTCGTAAGTACTTTAGTTGGGACGAAACCCATCTTAGCTTCACCAATTTTCAATAGCTCTTCCATAGATGTTGGTAACAATACCACTTTTCCACCAGTTTCCCTGTTTTCCGGCGAACTAATAGTCACTCTCGACGGATAAAACATACTTCCTCCTCCTCCTGGCAATGCTGGGCTTCTTGAAGCTTCTCCTCCATCGTCAGCTGAAAAAAACCGGAAATCAAAACCAAATTATTACCGGGATGGCTCTTGTGATGTGAAAAGTTCTGCAAATTATGATTACTTGACGAGAAAGAAACGAGTACTCCAACAAATGGAGAGGTGGGGCAGTCTTACCGGTATTTGCAGCTGAAATGAATCCGAAGAGCGAGTTTCTGAAGTTATTGAGTTTCTTTCTCTGAGAAACCACAACCTGACCTCCGTCTAAGACGAGTTCTCCTGAATGCATTGTAGGTTCACTGCTATACTTCATCAATGGCTTCCCTGTCACAGGACTCTGAGGTATTCCAGGGACAGGTTTTGGTTTCTTCTCCACGGGCCTATGATTATGAAACAAGGTTTTTATATCTTCATTCCCTTGATGGTCGGCAAGACCACGAGGAGTCCATCCGTAAGAATCCGGCCTGTCCAAATCAGCACCTCGGTCTAGTAAGAATTTCACAATCTCCAAGTGTCCTTCTGAGACTGCTCTGTGTAAGGCTGTGGTTCCGTTTCCATCAGGGAGTGTGACGTCGCCGCCATATTTGATGATGTCTTTGAGTGCGTCTAAGCTGTTCTTTTCCACGGCTAAGCCCGAGAAATAGCTCACTGAGTCTAAGCTTAGCTTTGCTCCATTCTCTGCAAGGAGTTTAGCAATTTCGCGATGTCTTCCTATGATTGCTTCCCACAAGGGTACATTACCTTCTGAATCTGTAAACAATGTACAAGCCACCGATAATTTAGTTTTTCGTTCAATCCAACTACATGATCCTATCATCCTAAGCTAATTGACCTAGTGAGACATATTTTACTACTTACCTCTAATGTTAGGATCTGCTCCATGTTCGAGAAGTAAAACGACGCAATAATGGCTTCCTTTTGATGCTGCTATATGCTGAGATATACAGATAAGAAACATACAGAGTAAACAATTTCTGTTTCGGCATTAAAAAGAGGATTATGGTAAATATTGGAGCTTACCAGCGCAGTTCGCCCGTCCTTATCCATTTCATTAGGGCTTGAGCCGCGTCTTAGTAACTGATGCAGCAATAAATCGTCTCCTCTGGCTGCAGCAAAGCACAAGCTGAGGGGTAAATCCATTTTCCCTTGAGCCAACATGTGTTCTGTATCAGCCAAAACGCCTTTCATCACTGGATCTTCTGAGTCTTTTAAATGCTGCATGAACCAGAACATATCTGTTATGAAACTGGTCTTTTTCACATTTTGTACTTAATAACCAAATCAAATCTTGAGTGTCAACATGTTGAAACAAACTTTTTAACAAATAGAAATGAAGAGAAGATTTATACATACCTGAAGAAGATTATTCATGATTATTGCTCCATCTCCTACATTTGCCTGTACAAGATTTAAGAGTACTGTCCGGTTCAGACGAAGCAACTGACTCAATCGCTTGGTACGAACAGTAAACAGCTGCGGTCTGTAACATAGTACCCCAACTTCACCAAAAACATTTCCTCTCTGTGCTTCACTAACTACCTGTAAAGAACACATACACAAACATTACCAAATCTGTTTTGGTTTCCCAATCACAACGATGTTAAAGAAGAACACAAATCATATCTTTAAAAGACTTAAAACGGTATAGTAAAAACTAGACTTGCCTGCTCCACTCCATTTACTCGTGCAATTATGTCCTGAATGACAAAGGAATGTGTCAGGAATAATACATGATGACAAAGGAATGTGTCAGGAATGTACGCAAAACACTTACAACAGCTCCGGTCACCAATATGTAGAAGTCTGTTGGTGCTTCATTCTGCAAAATCACATCTTCTTTGGGAGGAAAATACTCTGCTTTCATTTCAGTGACCTACAAGATACCGTAAGTTAAGACTTAATGTGAATAAAGTGACCATTTTAGCATGCGGGGCTTCTTGCGTTATGGGAAACATACCAACTGGAAAAGAAGATCATTGGAGATTCCATGGAACAAGTAGATTTTGTCAACAACTTCATAGAACAGGTAATGCGATATGCTGGACCGAATAGCTTTGGGAAGGGAATCGATGATTTCTTGCTGCTGTAAGCCTTCTGAATCAGTTCTGTACCTCAAACACAAATGAGCAACCATCTGATCTTGCAAGCGCACTGGCAGATTGTTCCTCTGACCAAACCCCGAGGCGGCTTGGATGGTATCTCTCTGAAATAATGCAAATGCATAAGACTCATGAAAACTGCAATAATCATCTTTTATTCCCATGAGAATGTATCTGATTCATCCTTTTCGATATGACAAAAAGCAATAACAGTACCGGTAAATAGAACTTACAAATTTTCTGGTGCGGCCGGTGACATGAACCACCAAGTTGGTCATATTACCAATTATATATGCTGATAATCCAAGATTAAAAACCATGTAGAAAAGAATGAAAGTCATCTCTCTTGAGTTAACACCATGTATATCACCATAACCAGTTGTGGAGAAAGTAGTTATGGACCAATACATTGCCGTGTTATACCGCACCGCAATAGGAGACTGTTTCCAATTTTCATCGGTTAATGCCATAAATGTCTTGGAAGGGTCAGGGTAATGCGCAGCAATGGAATAGAGGAAACAAGCACCACAATGAATCACAAAAAGAGTAACCTGCATTACCAAATCAGTACTGTAAATTGACAGCTACAAAATTGTTACATTTGAAACAAAGAGTGTAAAAACAAGTAGACATAGTTACTTACAAGGAGAAGCTTCGTGCAGCGAACCCAAAAGTAACTGTATTTCCTGTCTTTCTCTAACCTGAAAAGAAGACCTCAATGTGATACTCAGCTGGAATTAAAACGTTTTGGCTGGAACGATAGCCGAGCTTAAACCGGACAAAGAACTCACCTGGCAAAACAATTACTAACCCTCCGAAGACGCCATAAACGTAGCATACTGAAAATACCATATCCCTGAATACTCTCATGAAGCAAACTCCCAAAAATTTCGTAAGGAAATGTGGAAACCACATCGAAAATCAGCCAAGTCGACGCATATCTCCAAGCTATTCTCTTTGGATCATCGATAAGGAGATAAGTTACCTTGTCCAAGAAGGCAACAAAGAATGTCAAGATTATATCAACAGCGAAAAACCCGTTGACGATGTTATCGAGAATACTGAGAGGTGGTCTTGGCTTTTGTAGAAACCCGAATTCAAAAGGTGATGCCCAAGCTGTGTAGAGCACCAAAAATACCAAAAACGTCTCCCACGCTCTGAAAATAACATAATCATGTAACCAATATATATATAGTCAGCATATTTTGCAAAATTAGCAATGCTCATATTCACAATTTTTCAACATCATATACAGAAATCAAGGTAAACCCTAATTTTCGTGATTAAATGCAAAAACAGAGTCGAAATTGAAAAAGCGGACCTGTAACGAGGATCGAAAGGAGAGATAATGAAGCGACGGAGAATGACGTCACGAGAGGAACGATTGTTGGCTCCAAGAGAAGGAAGAAGGCCTTTGCTAAGGCTATACTGGCTCATCGTCCCGTCGCGAGACAAATGATCAGCAACATCATCCTCCGCATCTTTGGCTCTTCCGCCTCCGCCTCCGCCTCTTTCGCTGTCGTCTTTCACACCCCAAAACCATACCTTCTTCTTCTCCATTCAGATCTCTCTTTCTTTCTTCTTCCAAAATCCCTTGCGGATACACACGCAAGGTTTGGTTTCTCCTCCGAATTCGCCGGTTTCTGATTTCCTTTTATATCCTTTTTCTGTTACGTTTGTTTGTTTCTTTTTTCTTGTGGGCCCCAACACGGAACTAATTTTGGGGAATTGCAGTCTATAGCCAAAAAAAAAAATTATAATTCACTCTATAACCATTCTAACCATGAACCGTCGATATTACATGTATTTCATGTATTATAGACAAGTTTACCCTCATTGCATGAGTAACAGTTGCCTACTTTCGCAACCTTGAGAAACACGAACCGTAAAAGTGAAAAGACAAGTCGATGTCTAATCCCGCCAATTAAACGACAACTTCGTCGCGAGAGAAAACAGAGAGTTAGGGTTTCACCGGAATCGACCTTCTGGTTGGGATTCATCTCCGTCGCCGGAATTAGAAGTTTGCTGTCGCCAGATTAGCGGTTGGTCTGTTGTTTCTGAGTAAGTCGAGGGTTGGGATTTCTATAACTGTTGTCGATTGCTCCATATCTATTTCTGACTCAATCTATCGACTTTCTCAGGTGAATAGCCGCGGTGTGCCGGAGGAGTGGAGCCCAATTTCGGAATTATAAAGTCTTAGTTCTCTGCAACTGTGCTCCATCTCTGTTAGATTCAACACACGGTAAGCCTTTCTCCACGAATTCGCCTCTGCAACAGTAATTTCTGGTTGTTTTGTTTTGTAATTCCGATAACTATTGGTCTGTAGTTGGTGAAGAATGGAAGAAGAGCCGTTGCCTAAACGTATGTTCTGTACTGGGTTTGAGCCATCTGGAAGGCATAGGGTGAATAACTACTTTAATCTGCGGTGGATTGAGAACATAAAGCAGGCGCTTTCGGATGCTGATAATGAGCGGTTGTGTAACTCGCAGTTTGGTTCTTTGATGTTGATGGGGAACCACACATTCTCTGTAATGTTTGTGCATTACCTCCTTTCGAGGCAGTTGGTGACCAACAAGAAGTATGAGTTGTGGTGGGTGTTTGCGGGTAAGCCAATTAGATATGCCATTGAGGATTTTGCTCTTGTAACTGGTCTCAATTGTGGGAAGACTGGATTTAAGCCCGATAGGGGCAGGGGAATAGCTGTAAGGAGAGGAGCGCATTTGAAGACTGCTTTGTGGAAATCTCTATTCGGCAATCTTGCTAAGCCTACAACAACATGGATTCTGGAGAAGTTGCTTTTAGGGAAAAAATACAAAGATGATGAGACACGTTTCAGACTTGCGTTGTTGCTTCTGGTGGATGGCATTCTTTGTCCTACTTGTGCAAAGACAAACGTCAGTCCAAAGCATGTTGCAATGGTAGGTGATATTGAAGTATTTCTGAAGTATCCGTGGGGGCGTGAATCTTTTTTAAAGACTGTTGTGAGTGCAAAGGCGCGGACTGCTAGACAGTTAGTGAATGAGACATGTGCCATTCAAGGTTTCTCTCATGCTCTAGTGCTTGTAACTGTTGCGTGTTGTCCAATGATCATCCGAAGCCCTTCTGTTGGGCTTAACATTCATGATCCTGCAGTTCCAATTAGAGACATTGTTCAGAATGTTATTGAAAGGAGTTTATGTATCAATGTCCACAATGCCCGTATGGTTGATCAAACAGGCCAGGTATGCTTCTCTTTTTATTATTAGACTGTCTGTAGTGTATGAAGCTTCATGTTTACATACTTTTCCATATATCAAAAGTAATACATATGTGTTGCTTTTTCATGTTAGGCCCGAGTTACATCCATTCTGAATGAAGAAAACCAGGAGGAGGTGTTGGATCTGTCCTTCTCTGATGAAGAAGATGATGAAGAAGTAACACATCTTGTTCAGTTGGTGCATGATGACCATCCCTTTGAACATAATACTTGGACTGGTGGTAGGGATGCTGCTGCGATTGAAGCTGAGCCTAGTGAGCCTGTAATGACAGAAGTCGATGGAGAAGATGTGTCTAGTGAGGACGAGGAAGACCCCAGGGCCACTGGAACTGCCCACAATTCAAGTCAGTCTGCTGCTGATGATGGGAGGTATGTATCAGTACAGGCGCTTATAAAAGAAACAGCAGATGCGGTTGAAGAACGCTATCTCAGGCTTCATCATATTGACAAGATGGAAATGAAGGGGTACATTGATTCTGCAATGTCAGATTTAAAGAAAGACATTGCTGTATTGATTGAAGCTTCTGGTTGTGAATGCAAAAAGAGGATGCCTACTGAAGAAACTGAACCTGAAGGATTTGAGGTTCCTCAGACTGGAGCTGTTGGGGATAAGGTATGTTGCCGAGTTTGCTTATATTTGTCTATTAGTTAGTTCTATTCTACTTGTATTCAGTTTGCTACTGTTTTTAATTACAGAGAGATGTGTATTCATATATGACAACTAATATAATGTTGTTATTTGTGTAAGGAACCCGGATCTGCTGGTTCTTGTAAGAGTCGAAAGAAACCATCGCAGTCTAGTGTTACCCGGAGTAAGAGTAAGACAAATAAGAAGCCTAGGGTTGGAGGCTCAGTAACGCAACTTCCCAGACCTGAGAAGGTATGTTTCTGTTTTTATGTTGTATTGTTTTCGCTGTATTGATTTGTTGTGTGTTTGACTTGGTTGTTTGGGTTCCTAATGTTGTATCCCTTAGGGTATATCTTCCCTAATTCTATACAGATAGTTGAATATGAAATATTATTTGTTGTGTGTTTAACTTGTTTGTTTGGGTTCCCTATGTTGAATCTCTTAGGGTATAGCTTCCCTTTTTCTATTCAAATAGTACAACATGTATTTATTATATGGTGTGTGTTTAATTTGGTTGTTTGGGTTCCTTAGGTTGTATCCCTTAGGGTATAGCATCCCTTATTCTTGTGTTGATTTGTTGGGAATGCCTCACTTATATATGCATAATTACTATTAGTGTTCACTTGCGAGAGAGCTCCTTTCTTTACAACTGAGAGAGCTGTTATTTGTTTCACCAGGAGCCCCGCAAGAAGGTTGTGGAGGAAGAAGCTGGGGACGCTGAGATGTCTGGATTAGAAGAAATAGCTCCACCTACATTCTCAGTTGGTCTAACCCAGCAAGCAGTGGGTGGACCTGTGTTGGCGGAAGAAAATGTATGGGTGAATTTTTATTTCTTTCAATTAAGTCCATATTTAAAAGTGATGAAATTTATGTGTGGTTCAATATGTTTTAGGAACCAGCTGCTGTGTATTCTACGAAGAGTCCCGCTGAGTTAGATGCACCTACTTTTTCTTTAGGATTGACACAAGAAGGTGTTGCCATGAGGACTAATAAGTCAACAGGGAAGCGTAAGGCAGGAGTGGGGAACCCGCAACTTCCAAGCAGACATAGCTTGCGTGTACGTGACAGCATCACAAAGATCTGTGTTGATGCTACGCCTATAGGGCAGGGAAGAAATAAACGACACAGGTCTGGGAAGGAAGATGATTGTGTTGACGTTACCAGGACAAGAGAGATACCTACAGCTATGCTATTTACAGGTGATTTTGATCCATTTACTCCACCTAGTAAAGTGAAGGTGCAAGCTTTTCTTAAGCAGATGGAAAGGTCAACGTAAGTAATACATCTTGAAAATGTCTATTGATGTTTGTTGGTTTACAGTTAATCTAATGTGGATAGTCCATGTGCTTTGCAGCTCTTATGCTGTAGCAGGGGGCATGGTGGTGGATAACATAGAATTTCTCCAAATTTACGAAGCCACAGCTTTTCTTGATGAGTCGGTATGTACTTAGTTTGTCATATAATAGACCTATAATTTGATCCATCCATTGTATCACTGAGTATGACTGTTTTTAAATGTAGAGTGCGGATATGTTGGTCAAGTTCATCCAGTTACGTCGTGATAGGACACCTATGCTGCGTTTTGATTTTCTACCATCCACCTTTGTGTCTGAGCTGTACCGGCAGTACAATCGCTTTGTGAGATCGCCAGACAGGAAGATGTTTTCCTTCTCCAATGTATCCATTGCTCCCTTTATTACAAGACCGAAATGGATGCATGAGGTTGATGTTGTCTACATCCCCATGCAAGTTGAGAGACAGCATTGGATCGGTTTGGTCATTGACTTGAAGACGTGGAAGCTTCTTGTCCTTGATTGTAACAGAGGACGCTTGAGTGACCAGCAAATAAGTCAGTATCTTGAACATCTTTCAATTATGCTGCCTTATCTCTTGGCCAGACATGGAATCAATGAGGCTGCCCACAATCCAAGGCTTGACCCTATGTCTATCTTAAGGCCTACCATACCGTTCCACTGTTCTGCTTTGGGTTGGTCTATTTCCTTCTTAGTAAATATTATGTAGACAGAACAGTACAGTAACCAATTTATTTTTGTAATGCAGGTTTGGTTGGGATTGCATCGATTGTTCTTCTTGAGCTGCACGCAGTGTCATCACTGCAAACATATTACAGGGAACTTGACGATGAAAAGATCCAAATTGCAGCAAAACAGTATGCTATTGAAGCATTTGGTGCATTTTCTCCAACTCCTATTGCTCTGTAGACATCTATGTAGTAAAATGGTGCATTTTCTCCAACTCCTATTGCTCTGTAGACTTCTATGTAGTAAAATGGTGGAATTCTTTACTTTTTATCTTGTACTCCTAGTATCAAATCTTTGGATTGGATGTTGTTTACTGTTTAATTATTGTAAACTTATTTGGATGATTTGCTACTATGTTAAAAAGTATTTGATGTTTCCTTGAGAAGTTGCTATATAGTTCTAGTAGTCTCTATAATATTTAGATTTAGGTTAATTGTGGTTTGTTTTTGTTATGTTCAGAATTGATAATCAAACTTTTAGTCAACATATAATTAAAATCCAAAATACTATTTAGGCATCAAAATAACATTAAACCATTTCTGGGTTTATAATATATTACAATCTTCAAAACATGGTGTTCTTGGGCATCACAACCTTATTTACAACACTGCATAGAGATAGATAGATAAGCGTATCATCCAAAATACTATGGTATATACTATGACAGGATATACCAGAGTATTTTGTGATAGCTTTGGACTATACAGCCACTGCATATATACATCATCGCATCTATACTTGATGCGGTAACCATTATTTTGCCCACTCCAAAAACCTTCTTTGGAACACCTTCATTAAAACCCATGGTTGTTGCTAATGCTTATATAGCATTTTTACAGGAAGCCTTGTTGTGGCCTGGGCGACAACAACGGGAACACCTCCTGTTAGACTGTTGACGAGGGCGCTGCATTAAAATACAAAACATTGTGTTAGGAATATCTGATGATGATAAATAGAATAGACTTATTAAGTAAATAGAATAGAATCATACCTTGAATTCCCCCTTAGATTTGATCCGAATCTTCTTAGGCCTGCCCGGTGGACGTCGCACAAAAAGAGGATTAAGATCCCCTACAGTACCAGACGCATTATCGGGTCCCCCGACAGATGGAATAGGATAAATCTTCTCGGCATAAGAAAGTCGAAGCGTGTGTTCAAAGTATGCCGGTGCTACAAAGTTATCCACGCTCATTCCAATGCTTGTTGCTGCTGCTATCACATGGGCACATGGAATGCTAAGGCTCTGGAATTCATTACAGGTACAAGTCCCGTCAACTAGTTTAACTGTGAAACATTCACCACTTGTTATTTGAACTTGAAATTCGAACTCGCTTATTGGCCTTACTGACATGGCCATTGCCAGCTCAAAATTAGCTTCTACTAAGCTGCGAACTTTGGGAGCTAAGGTGGTTTGTGACCGTGCAGCCCTGGCTCTACGGAAAGCGAACCAATCCATAAGAGTTGTACGAATGTATTCAAGCATGCATATCAATGGATAGTCTCTAGCTTCTTTCAATACACTATTCCAGGATTCGGCGATGTTGCTGTCCATTATGTTGTACCGCTTTCCCATAGAATGGACCCTTGTCCAATGAGAGAATCCTACATAATCATTAGCAACACTCATTAAGCAGTACAACTCTTATATATTTTAAAATAGTGTAACCTATGTTAACGAGATAAATATATATCTTTAAGTCATCATACCCCTTGAATATATATAACCATGATCTGTAATATAATGACCTACCTATGTCAACAAGATATGCAGCACATCCTGGGCTTAGCTTTTGAATTTGGAGGAAATTTTTGTTGAAGTCATCAACTACATAGGCTCTGGCTGCAGCTGACATTAAACCAGCTAGGGTTTGGAGCTTGTACAAGTGCTTTACATTCCTCCACAGATGAACAGTACAGGCAGCATGATTCGCGTCCGTGTAAACCTGAAAGCCAAATTATAATGCCCATTAGTTAACAACTTACATAGCCAAACAGAGGTTAATATTTTGTAAATTTCTATCTGTGAAATTGGTTAATCATTTATACCTTCCTTAAACCGCTGTAAATGCTAGAATGGCGGTCTGATATGAAAACCAACTCGGTTGTGTCAGGGACAAATACGTTTAACCGCCTAAAGAACCACTCCCATGCTTCATCATTCTCACTATTAACGACAGCATATGCTAAGGGAAAAACCTGAAAATTGCCGTCTTGGCAACTAGCAGACAGTAAGCATCCTCCATATCGCCCTTTCATTGATGTCCCGTCGACCACAATGACCTTCCTCATGTATTGATAACCTTTCACGGATGCAGCCAATGCTATGAACTGGTATTTAAAACGTGTAGGACCTTTTGGATCATCAGAATGGGCCGAAAAACAAAGTGATCCAGGATTAGTTTGCTGAAGCAAAGCGATGTATGCCGGTAACAGAGCATAACTTCCAGCCATAGAACCCATAGACTTTTCCATTGCAATCTCCCTTGCACGCCATGCTTTCCAATAAGAAATGTTGATGTGGAAATCATCTAGCAGAAACTTGCGAATGACGGCAGCATTGGGACCTCTTTTGATATTCACAAATCGAGATTGCATAATCTCACCTATAACCTGTGTTGTAGCTAACCTGTGGTAGCTACGCCTCTCATCAACCGTGCATGTGTGCGTCAGTTTGGCTTGACGGATTTGGAAGTTCTCAGATGCATCCACTTTTGCTGCATAAACCCGCCATGGGCAGGTTTTTGAAATACACTTCAAGACCATGAACTTAGGAGTTGACCTACTGGTGCGAAAATGGAACTTCCTGTTGATTGCGTGAATAGCAATCTTCAGCTTGCAATCCGCTTTTGACTTAAACACACGTCCGACAAACAGCTTGTCTCCTTCATAGTTTATATCCGCCAAAGCAGTTTCAACATCTACACAATTAGATAATAATGTTAGGTAGTGAAAACATTGACATTAAAAATGGATGTACTATGTAGACATATATGTATGGTTAAAAAGTTTCTTTTGTACCTGCACCTTTTCCATCATTAAAGACAGGAGGTGCATCGCGACAGAACAAGGCCGGATCATCACTCTTGTCTAGTAGCATCTTGTTCAATGCCTCTTGAACTCGTCCCCACATCACACATGGAACATGTTCTGCTCCATTTCCATCACCGTCAATGCTCCCAGTTGATTCAGAATCTGAAACAGGGCTTCGTACAGCTACCCGTGACGAATTGATAGTGTCATTCACCCTTGCTTGGCTACATTCAACTCTGGAGGGTATATCTGGCTGTGAAAATAGAACAATTTGATTCTCCTGCTCGTCATCACTATCAACTTCTGTAGGATTTGGAGCCTCCTGCAGTACTCCTTTGCCTTTATCACCAGGTTTACAAGCAGGACCAGCAGGGCGAATTGTAGGTTCTGTTTCTCGGATAGTTATGCCTCCTGCAGTTGTTGGGACAGAGCATAATCTAATTGTCTCACCTTCAACAATAGGTCCTTCTTGTGGTGATGTTGTGTGTTCGCTAAGTGCAAAATCATGCCAGTCGGCATCATATTCATCCTCTGAAGAGTCTCCATCACTGTTTGGTGAAACGTAATGCAGCCAGTGCTTCTCCCTCCTCTTTGGCTGAGCCTCTTGGGATGTTATTTTCTTCACCACAGTGACACACAGGTTAACCTCTTCAATGAAACGCCTCATTCTGATGAAAACTTCAACATCCTTATCTTCACATATGTACTGTGGCGAGGATCCGTTGCCTTCGTCTATTTCCATCCATGACGGGTACTGGTATGACATTTTTATAACGACGTCATGTGCTCGGAGTCCCAGCTTCTCTTTAACTTTGCTTGCAAGCTCTTTGTATGTCATGGAGTCCCGCAGGCGAAGGAACCGGTTCCCCTCCACCGTTGTAGGTTCAAAGTTCCAGATAAATGAATCCACCTTCACCCATTCTCCAATAACGAGTAGAACATGATCCTGAGCCGTCATCTACAAAGACAAAACAGAGTAAATATTTTTTAGGTTATATAGTATGCTGTTTGGATTACACATAACTTATGATATTAGTACAAAGCTTTACCGCATAAAGAAAATTAGGTTTGGTTAGCAGATCAATAAAAATGGAAACTATATCATTGTTTACTTGTTTGTAAAGGCAGATCTGTGTAAAAGCTAAGTATATATATGAGTTCTTTAATGGTCTGCAGCAATAAATTCCATACTATGTTTAGAACAAGAATAAAAGGAATCTAGAATCTATGCTTTTTACCTGAATATTTCGATGCCTTGAATTTACTGTCCAACTACTTTCCCCATCATCCATTCTTTTTGCAGATGGAGATAGTACTCTGCAAGTAAAAAGAGCCTCACTAGTCTATTTAATAACTGCAGTACAAGATCTCAGCCGCACATCTTCCTCGGGGGAATTTAAAATTCAAAAGAAGTAAGTTTTATCGCATGGTTAAGTTACTGATTGGACAAATTGTGCAACTTGGCAGGTTACTATAAGCCTACTTTTGTAGACCAGACACGTCGACCTTCTTTTTACCAGGGAGATAGCGCGTGTCACGTACGGAGGCTACTCAGGTAATATCCACAGGCCCAATGGTTATTCTCTTTGTTTTGGGCTTTAGTGTGCTATATTCTTAATTTTCGGTTTGAAATTGGTCACTCACCTAATTGCCCCACTAATTTTCCCTCCTTTTTGTTTTCTTTTGTAGCCACAAAAATAGCAGGTAAATTTCGGTTCACTGGTCTTTTAGTGATCATAGAAAGTTTCAAAATTAACAAATTGCCATGTTTATTACCATTTTGCTCTAGGAAACTGAATATTGTCTATAGATTTTTGGTTATTTGGGATTTAGAATCGGAAGCTGTTGGATTTGAATATAATCGGTTGTGAAATTGATATGATGTTATTATATATATGTAATAATATCCGTATAAAATTTTAGAATCAGTTGATGTGTTATTTGATTTTTTAAAAATCAATCTTGAATAACCCCTCCACAATTTCAAAATAAAAAGAATTTAAATACAAGCTAGGTCAATAAGAGAGATTAGGGGGTGATTGGTAAGCATTTTTAAAGCTTTAGAAAAGTTTTAAAGTCTTTAAAGTTTTTATTTTTTCAATCACACTTATTTGGCTTTAAATAATTTTAAAGCCTCCAAAGTCCCTCTTTTTTTTCTTTACTCTTTGAATTCAGTTTTTCTCTAAAGCCACATAAACTTGACTTTAAAAGTAAAAAGAATAAAAATTAATAGTTTTCCTTATTTTCTTTTTCCCAATATATGAAAACCTCTGATAAAATTCATTGGAAAATTAATTTTAAAAAATTATTCGCTAATTTACAATTGATTTTATTTTCATGTTCTTTTAAGATCCACTTATGTATATAAAAATATTAGATATTACACTTGATATAAAATTGGAGAAATATGAATGTATACAAACTTCTCATAAAGTTCTTTGTGTGAATTTTGTTGTTATATCACAGTTTGGGTTTATATTCGCTGTAATTTATTTTATTTAAAATCATAATTTTTACAACCACAGTTTCTACAGTTTTGTTGTTACCAATCACATTTTAACAGTTAAATTAAAATCTCTAAAGTTAAAGCATCTACAGTCAAAATTTCTATAGCCAAAGTCCTTACAGCGAAAGTCTTTATAGACGAAAGTAACAGTCTTTACCATTCTGCCCCTACAACAATCCAAATCACAAAATAAGAAAGTCGTAGATAGCAGATGTTAAAAAAAAAGTTGTAGATAGAAAATAAACTCATTTGGAAGCTTTTTAAAATATATTGAAAATAAAATCTTAAAATATTTTGTTTAGTAAGAAGAAAAATAAACAATATTTATATGGAAATAATATCAAATAAAACTTTGGGTTTTAATTATTCATTACTAATTTCTTCTAGGGCATGTCTCGTTTGTTTCAAATTGGATCTTTATTTTGTGTGCTGGGCTATTTAGCTAACTGGGCCATATAAGACTTTGTATCATTTTCATTCTCATGCATTTAAATAGAAGATCTTTTATCAAAATATTTTTTTTTTTTGCTAAATTGTAAATATCATTTAGGAATGAAAGTTTGAGGCTTACAGAAGTTAGACCTATATATTTGCTACTTTGCCAAAAAAGAATAAAAAACAAAGGAGCAAAAACAAGAGAATTGATGAGATTCAATAGACGAGAATTAGTGCAGCCACAGTTGCATCAGTCTCGAAAAACTGCGCAAATGACGTCTTGCGGAGATTGAGTTACGTATCAGACTTTCGATCTCTCTAAAGACTGTCGATGGCGGTAGAACTTGCTGATTGAAGAGCATGTTGTTTCTTTGCTTCCAAATGCCGTAGACGACAGCCTGAGACACCATTTTTCGAAGTAAAGATGGAGATCTTTGGGAGTCCTGTTTTAACCAGTTCGTAAAAGCCGACCAAGACTGAAAGTGAAAATCAATCGGTGATAAGCCAAGCCTCGGCAGAATCCTGCTCCACACACCACAAGAAAATACACAATCAAGAAAAAGGTGATCACGTGATTCCTCCACCTGGTTACATAAGCAGCACAAGGGAGACACCATCATTCCCCAAGACAGCAATCGATTTTTTGTGGGCAGTCTGTCAATCGATTTTATCAATATATATATATATATATATATCTATATATACATTTTTGGTGAAGATTTGGCCTCAAAAATCCTTTTACAATTTCAATATTGTACATTTAGTCCCTACAAATAAAATCTGACAAAATATTTGTCTTAATGAAATTTACAAAACAATTAATAAACTCATCTAACAATTCCTAATTTTTCGTTTACGAGATATCCAATCCTAACAAATGGAAGTCAAATATTCGTAATTAAAACTCTTAATCACCATAATCTCGGTGATATCTTCGAAATTAAATCAACTAACCAAAAACTAATCCTAATCCAAAGCCTATATACCATTTTAAACAATTCGTTTAACCATATATGACAAAAATTTATCAAATGGAAACTAATAAAACCTCCAAATCATTTTAATATCTAGATTTGCATTTAATTTACATTGCTATTAAACCTAATCCTATCTAAATTACCAAATATCTTTCGCAAGAATATCTCATCAGTTTGATTTACTCTCAAACTACCTTGAATGGTACCCGATAATCACTCTCCAGAATCGTTTTCCAGTTTTAGCAACAACATATATTCATCTCAATCATTGAATGGTGCCTGCATTCATTCTCCGAGATTATCTCACTTTAATATCTCTCTTATATCCATTTATAACAAGAAATATATTGCGAATACAAACTAATAATCACGCATATTCCTTTTATGTTGGGATCCAAAGATTTTATACCTAATTTTATTCTCCTAAATATATATTTTGCTTGATCACAACTCTACATGCTTAACCTAAATCATTTTACTATATATACTCTCATTTGCATTTCAACTCTCACCATCGGCAACTAAACATCTCACTTCACTATCCATCAAAACAAATATTACAAAGTCCACAATGGCTGCTACTTTTGGTTACCTCAAAGATGTTCGTCCTTACAAGATTGGCTGGAGAGTGCAGGTGAAAGTCCTTCACGCCTGGAAACAGTACACTTCTGATACTGGTGAGACTCTTGAGTTGGTGTTCTCTGATGAACTGGTAAGCAAATACAAAACATATCAATTTTCCTATACACATCATTTTAACTATTTCCTACCATAACTAATACTTCATTTTGCAGGGGAAGAAAATTCATTGCACTGTCAAAAAGGATTTGGTCTCCAGGTATGTCAACAGTCTAACTGTTGGAGATTGGGTCTTAATTGAGACATTTGGTCTTAGTTATGATGGTGGTCAATTCCGTCCCACAAATCATCTCTACAAGATGACTTTTGTCAACACCACTACTGTATTTGGTTCTGAACCTAAGTCTGAATCAAACTACCTGTCTTTGGCCAAGTTCGAAAAGATTCACAGTGGAGAGCTTAATCCCCACATTTTGGTTGGTAAGTGATCTATTTATTAAATATGTAAATCATATATATTTATTCTTTTACTAAATTATATACTAAACATTTGTATTTGTTTTAACAGATGTCATGGGTCAAATTGTTATGGTATCTGAGTTGGAGAACCTTGAGGCTAATAATAAGCCTACTTGCAAGCTTGATTTCGAAATGAGAGATGAGACGTGATATTTTAACTCTCAACATACTCAGTTTATATCTTTCTATATTTTCAATATACTGATCTTTTGTATTTGTTTTAGGGATGTGAGAATTGCAGTTACTTTGTGGGGGTCATTTGCTCAGACTGTTTACACAGCCTGTCAAGCTGCTGAAGACAAGACTGTCGTGTGCCTGATTCGATTTGCTAAGATAAAGGCATTCAAAGGTACCTATCAGCTACTCTCAATTATACATACATATGTAGCTACTTTCAGACAGTTTTTGACTTCAGTTCTTATATTACCTAGGTGTTAGGAGCTTATCAAATTCATTTGATGCTACTCAAGTCCATGTCAATCCAGCCTACCCTGAAGTAGCTGCTTTTATCCAATCGTAAGAATTGCCCTAATTATATAGTTCTTATTCTATTTTCTCCATAATTGTTTCATTACCTGCTAACTCTTATGTTAAAAATTAGACTCCCGGATGATGGTATAATCTGTGTATTCCGTGAGAGAGTACCAAGATTTGCTATTGTCAGTGCCAAAAACGAAGATTATGATGAGTTTCCAAGGAACACAATTTCAGAACTCATCACTTCTATGGATGTAAGAAACTTTGCTTTCTCAGTCTTTATATCTAGCTTTCTCTAAGTTATATTTTTTATTTTCTTAGGTTGGTAAGGCAAGGCTGATGTGTACCATCTATGCCATTGATACTGATTGGGCATGGTACTACATTAGTTGCAAATCTTGCAATAAGAAGGTCACACATGTCCATGCTGGGGTTAATGGTGTCAACAACAAAGGGAAGAAACCTAGGTTCTGGTGTGACGTGTGCAAGTCTGTGGTCACAAATGTCATTGCTAGGTAATACTTCTTTATTCTTGATTTGTGTTTTCTTAAAATATATAGTTTTCAGTAGCCATCTAATTAACATTCTTATCTGTTATAGGTTTATGATTTATGCTAAGGTCATGGATAAT